CTCCGCGGGGCTCCGGCGGCGGCGGAGTCCCGGCTCGCGCGCGCCCTCTCCCCCTTGCAGGCCTGGACCACGAGCTGGCCTTCGCCAAGATCATCGTGGAGCTGCGCCGGCGGCCCCCCGGGCACGTGCTGCCGGACGAGGACCTGCGCTGGGTGTTCGTCAACGCCGGCGGCTGGATGGGCTCCATGTGCCCCCCCCACGCCTCCCTCTCGGAGTACGTGCTGCTCTTCGGCACCGCCGTGGACACCGGCGGGCACTCGGGTGAGCCGGGCGGGCGGGGTGGAGGAAGACCCCTCGCCGGCCCTCGGCAGAGCCCCCCAGTCCATCAGTTTATCTGGCGGCGTTTGGTAGTTCCACGCGTAGGTGGCTCTTGTAACGCTTACGCCGGTCTTTCTCAACCTTGGCCGCTCTGAGATGCGTGGAATTCTGGGAGTTGTAGTCCACGCATCTCAGAGCGGCCAAGGTTGAGAAAGACTGCTTATGCAGTATTAGGGTATCTGGCCTGAGTTCTCAAGAGAAGAAGCAAATTCTCAGCTCTCAGGCCTCCTCTTGACTCGTCCGGGCACCTTGCCTGTAACTGTGACCGGCATCTGGATGCTCTTTTCTCCACGGCAGGTCGCTATTGGGCTGACATCTACGACACGGTGATCTCAGGGACCTTCCGGCAGTGGAAAGAGGGAACAACCAAAAGTGAGATTTATTACCCAGGTGAGTTGCAGTTCCTCACCGGGAGGCCTGCATGGGAAAGGGAGCCGTAAGATGAGGTTCTCACTGCTGCCCATTTGCCTCATGCAGGAGACACCATTGTCCACCGTTCCGGAGAGGTCACCTCAGTGCAGTGGAGCGCCGGCACGTGGATGGTTGAGTATGGCCGAGGCTTCATTCCCTCCACCCTCACCTTTGTCCTTGCTGACACGGTCTTCAGCACTCAGGACTTCCTCACACTCTTCTACACCATCCGGGTTTATGTCAAGGCGCTGATCTTGGAGGCTAACACATACTTCAGCAGCACAAGTCAGTGAGCCTTGCTCCTCTGCCCTCTCCCAGCTGATGAAAGGATCACCTCCTTCCCTGCCTCCCCATCTTGTGCTAGTGGCCTGGGGCAGCTCCCGTGCTTGCACTTCTCCATCATACACGGTTAGGTGCATAGCATGTGCGTCAGGAAGCAAAGATGGATCTGAGAGAGCAATAACGTGTCATTCTCAGTTGCCCATTCATGAATATCTGAATGTTCTGCTGTAAATAGATATCCGTGTTGCTCACAAGGTGATTATTCAGTGTCTCATGGAGACCGGATATTCAAAGTGTTTTGGAGCCATGCAGAGAAGGAGAGGCCTAGGTATCTATAGAAGGGGTGATGTCCCACATGCCATGGCATCATCACACAATTGACCCAAATAATGCAATTTGCGTGGTGACGGCATGACATGTATCATGTTGTGTGGCTTTTGCCAGGCACCTTTGGAGAGAGAAAACGCATCCTCTCTCCAGGCTCTGAGCATAAACGCCTCCTGCAACACTGTCACCAAGCTCTGTTGGTCTATTCTCTGCTTTGTTTCAAACGGGCCGCCTGATCCCCATAAACATAATAGGCAGTTGAGAAGCAGCAGCAGAACTTGATTGATTGAGCCCTTAAAAGTATATATTTGCACTACTGTTTTAAGGCAGACAAGTATTTCCTAGTACTTCCTTTTCATCCTCTGTCATTCCTTTTTCCCCCACTCTGTACCCAGTTTAATTTCTCAGATGAAAAACGGGTAATTTGGCTGAGCAATATCTGTATCCACCGGTTTGAAAGCACCCATGCAGTACCTTGCAGACTGGATTTCAGCTGGGAAGTTTTGTTCTGCAGACTGGTATTGTTCCCTAGGAAAACACAGGAAGACCTGTGTGTGGATCTTCCACAACTCTGTCCTGCTTCTGGTTTGGAAAACTAATTTAGCATTCCAGTTGTGCTTCCTCGGGCCTACCATGAACCTCTTCTCTCACCACAAATCAGCCAGCAGTGCTCCTTTTTAGACAGTTGACTCACCTTTATGTGCTTGCAGCACACAATTTCAACTAATTTGCTCATCTGGCAGCCACATTTTAGGTCTTCCAAATCACTGCAAAGAAGGCTGGGGGCTAGACATTTTCCTGTTCCTGCCATATTCTCTTCCTCCCATTCTAGAGAGGGGAAAAAAAGTTAAAGCCCACAGTGGCCCAGTCAGAGTCAGCAGTGTAACAGGGTTGGTGGGCGTTGCCCACACGTACCCCATCCATGTTTTCCCCCTTAGCTGTTTCTTGTATGGTCATAAGGGGCTGAAATCCCTGAGATGGGGATCCTCATTTTCATGGGACCTCTCTAGGACTACAGATGACAGAAAAGTTAATCCTCCTGGAAATAGTTTGCATGAACAAGACTAGATATATTTGGAGCTAAATCTAGCTTCTATGAGTGAGTAGCCTGGATCAGTTAACTCAGTTTTAGAATTTGCACATGTTTATATCCCCTCTCTCCACCTTCCACGGCCCAGTTAACCATATCATACAAAAGGAACTTGTGATTCTGGAGAGATGGTATTATAATTAAGCAGTAGCTGCTGTGTAGGACAGCATTTCATCTGCATTTGTGACATGATTCTTCCTGTATGTCTTAATGCCTGGAGCGCTAATAACCAAAATGTCCTTTGCAACCATCTCTTTCCCAAAATGGATTGTAGACATTCTCAAGATGTCATCCAGTTTGGTCCTGTAATAATGCAGAGCCATCATCCATCACCTTAACTATGCGCCTTATTCTCTTGAGCTATGCACGTGTGTGTGTGTATTTATATATACCTCCTATCGTTGATGTATCTGGCTGGACATTTTCCTCCTAGAGTTGCAGAAATGGCCAAACCCTAAGCTTGAATATTCAGTTCTTTGGCTTCACATTCAAGCGATTAGCGCCAAACCCAGTGCTGATTCAGTAGAACAAGCAAACAAAGAGGCGCTACTTTTTTCTTCTCTCAGAATATCCCAGAATTGGAACCACCAGAAAAGGGGTGCCATCACCCATCACTGAGGGCTCCCTATCTTTGCATCCAGTATTATTAACCTTACTAACATCTCTTCCTGCTTCTGTAGCATGGAAATGAGCCTGTAATATTGGTGGTCAGTTCTGGACTGTCCCTGTTTCCAGAATGCCTGAGAGATCCTCATCCTGGATGCTTCCTTTTGCTCTTCTGGAACATTAAATCTTCTGAAAGAGTCCTCCATCACCCTCAGAATGCTCTGAGATTGCTGGAGTGTCAAAGCTTTGCTTGCCCCTTTCAGCCCTCATCATTTGTGAGTATCAGGACTCCAGTCTGAACTCTTCCTCTTTCCTCAACTTCATTTTGCATGGGTCAAAGAGCTGTTGCCTCCCTTGGGGGAGGATTATCCCTTCTTGTGCATTATTGGAATCTCCCCCCACCCCCGTCATCATTTGTCCTTGCCTTTCATCTTCTGCAAGATGGGCAGAGTTTTGTGCGTAGAAAGTAGGTGCCAGTAGGAGGCAACAATGATTTGTCCTAGCCAGCCCTAATACAGTTGGGAAGAGGGTATTCTGTTCCTCCTTGCAGCAACCATGGAAAGGCAGTTGGACAGTAGGTATGGTCTAGCCAGATTTGATTGGTTGCATGGGCTGGCAAGTTACCTCTACTCATCAGAAAGCCCAAATGCCTCCCCCAAGGAAAAGCCCCATAGGGGCATCCTTGGACTTACCTTTTTTTTTTTTCTGGGAGTTGATAAGTCTTACAGTTCGAGGGCACATTTTTTTCCCTTTCCTCCCACTCTGGGCTCAAGCAGTTCTTTGTTCAGGTCAGAATGCAGTGATGCATTGCAGAAAGTTTGCCAGGCGGCAGGCTTTCTATGCCCTACTTCTGCTGGCTACTCTCTTTGCTAGCAGGTATTTGGCATCAACAGCCCAGAATTTGCAGTCCGTTGGATGTAATAGCCTTGGAACCATCGGCCAAATATATAGCATGTCTCCAGTTTCTGTTTCTCAGTTACTGCAAATGTATCATGTCTGATGTTCACAAACAAGTCTTTGAGAATAAATCAGTGTGGGTGTGTGATTGTTATATTTTGACAAAAGAAGAATACAATGGACTGTGATTAAACTTGCCTTTGTGTGTCTGCTTTTGTTTATCACTGAGAATTGTTGCAAACTGGACAGACTGCATCCACAAACTACTCTCTCGTACTCATGGTTCTGTGTGAATTCCCTGCAGGGTTGGGCAGACAGAGATTCAGGCACATTTGATTTGGATTGTATATGTCAGCTTAATTTCCATGACTTGCACTCCTGCAGAAACAAATTTTATGTCAATCTTTGAACTCTCTGCAGCAGATTCTTTATATGCTGCTTCATTTGTAACCAGCTAAACACCCAGTTTACTGTGAAAGGCATTAAAACAACCCAACAGATGTTCTTTCCCATCATGCCACACCAAGGAACAGCAAACCATAAATCAATGTAACCAGTAAACGTGCAGCAGGGACCCATATCAGCTTCCAAGGCCGTCAGTTCTTTTTCACTTTCCTAAAACCCAGCAGGTTTGGTGCCAGTCTGATTTCAGGAGGAATGTTTCTCCCCAGTTTTGACACAAACATACTGCTTTTCACTGCCCGTGAATTTAACAGCATTTGTTAAACGTGGAGAAGTTCCACAAGGCATCCTTTGGGGTGCCTTTGTGTGAAAGGTAATTTTGACATCGTCAGAAGTAAACAACCTGAACAAGAAACAGATGGAAACCATCTCCTGCCCAAGAGAGAACTTGGCCCTTTAGGCAGAGCCATTGGGAGGTACAACAAATTGAGTGTTGATAGTTATAAATAGAGCTCATTCTTCAGACACGGCCGTCACTGGAATTCTTTCATGGGACTTGTTGGCTTTTCTAAAATAAAACTGCTTATCCTGGATTATTATATGTTCATTTGGTTGCTTCCAGTGTAGCCTGGTAGGAGAAACCCACCTTTAGGGCTCTTAAGAGCAGAGGTTTATTATTCTTTGCTTATATGGTCCTTATTCCTAGCTGCTGATCTGCCTTTAGTTGGTCATTGTATTGTACTACTAACTAGCCAGTTACTGAAGGAGCAGCATAAGAGCTACGGCCTGGATACCAGGACGTTCGCCATCTCCCATCAGTGGCTCATGCGTTTGCATTTGGTGGAGTTCTGTGGACTATTGAATCCCTGTTGGTTTCTTGGAATGCCATTTCTACTTTTTGCTTTACTGTGCCATGCTCTTGGTTTCTGTTTGTGTGAGGGTTCTCTTGTACCAACTAGGGAATACAAGAAAGTCCATTAATGTCTTGACATTCACAAGAGAATCAACTATTCTGTCCCCACCCCGCCTCTAAAAGTAGCGCGTGTAGGACCTTTTCCAGCTTTCCAGAAAGTGGAGAGTGCATTTTGAGATGTTCGCCCATCATTTTTCTCTTCTGTGGAATACAGAATTCTTCCTGCTTGGATAGAAAATGTTGCATGATCGTTGCATTACTGACCTGCCCAGGCGAGTGGTGGGGTGGTGTCAATCCCCCAAAAGTTAAAGGCAGCCTCTGGCCATCATAAGATTTTGTTGTTCAGTCGTTAAGTCGTGTCCGACTCTTCGTGACCCCATGAACCATATCATGCCAGGCCTTCCTGTCCTTCACTGCCTCCCTGAGTCCAACACTAAAGCGCTAAGTTTCATTGTGTTTGACATGCGGAAATTATCTCATGTTCTCCTGTGCTAAGCAGAACATAGCTCATTCTGCCTTTCAGCAGTGACCTGTGAGAAGCCTGCAGCCCAAACCATGGGAAGTTTCCATGCTGATCTACTGCCTGTTGTTTCCAAACCCCGCCAGGGGGCAGCAGCCACCAGCCTTTAAGCACAGCTCTTGCATCTTACGGCGCCTTAAGAGCTTAAGGCACATTTGTGAAGATTGTCCTTGGGATTTCTGGCTCTTCTTAAGTTGGCCTGATGTGCACTTTCCCTGTGTTAGCTGCCTACTTGTTTAAACTCAGGGCAAGCCTGCATGCTTCCTGGGTAGCCCTCTTAATACCTGGGAGAAGGCCACATCTTCAAATGGGGTTAGGACACCAACAAAACGAGCTCATTTATTAATGGCATGAGTTCTCATGCTAATAGAGATGCATAAGCTCTTTTCCTGAGGTGGAAAAGAGGAAACTGAAAACTGCAGAAAAGTTAGATTGACAGCTCTGTTAACACAGTTCCCCTGTCAAGGCTGGCGAACTCAGGAAATAGGGATCGCTTGGATTACAGGAAGGATCATTATTACGAATAGGTGAAGTAACAGAATCTTGAAAGCCTGCCAATATAACTATCCAGCTCAACTTATACCAAGTGTAATTATGGCAGAATTATTCTGAGTGTCTTTCTCACACTCCCCCCCACCCCCACTCCCCTGGAGTAAGGAATCTCTTTGGTAATGGTCTTATGCCCTCCTTCCCGTTCCCAAGGTCACACTCCCCCATATCATATCTTCCAGATATGCTCAATGACGACCCTATCCTAGACATTATGTCTGCCTCTGGAGAGTAAGGAAGAGGACCCTGACCGAGAGGCCAGATATATTACTAAAGGGACAAGGGGAAAAACATGGCCCAAGTCCAAAACAACAAGAAGGCAGGTATAAATGACTCGAGCAGACGCCTCCCTAATTCACATGAAGGGAGGGTGGGGAACAGTAAGGCACAGTCAGACTTGTAAGATTCTGTTACTCTAGCCACTACAGGTAATCCTCATTTAGCAACCACAATTGGGACCGGCAACTTGGTTGTTAAGCAAAGCGGTCACTACGTGAAAGCATGACTGCTTACGATCTAACTTCAGCTCTCCTTTGCTTTACAGACCTGCAAAGGTCATAAATGCAAAGATTGGTCGCAAAGTTACTTCTTCATCACCTTTGTAACTGAGAACACTCACTAAACAAGGCAGCCACTAAATGAGGACTACTTGTATTCATAATTCATGTGCTTAAATTCATATAGAAATAACTAGTGGCCATGAAAGTACGTTATCAACACAAGCCTCCAGTCTTTCGTGCACCACCAGGCTGTGAGAGTTTTGTGAGCCACTGCATAGCTATGGGCTGTTATCTATTTTTTATTACATTTATATCCTACATTTTGTAACAGAGCTCAAGGTAACGTGTAGTGTTCTCTCCTATTTTCCCCCCAGAAATAACCGTGCGAGGTGGGTTGGGCTGAGAAAGAATGCTGACCCAGAGTCCCCCAAGGAGCTGCTGGGGCTGGGGGGGCTAGAACTTGGGTACCCCCACCCCTAGTCCAGCCCCCTCACCGCCACACTCCCTGGTTCTCCTTACAAGCAATAACCAAATAATTAGCACATTCAGTGACCAAAAGCCGAATGTGGTCGGATGTGGTTCACCACAAGAAGGAGAGCAAGCCAACAGAAACCCCAACATTTGCTAGTTCTGCCATTTAAAAGTACAAATGTCGCCGCTTAAAAAATGGTTTTCCCCCAGACGTTGGGATAGAGAGGGGCTGGAGCCCTAGTGATTGTCTGTTGATATACTGGGGAGAGTTGTTTTAGGGCATCAGGAGTTATTCTTGGGGGTTTGTTGCTTCTTTTAAATTCTTTATTGCTGTTGGTGTGAGTCTCTCAGTTATGGCACATAAGATGAGTGGTCATAAAAGCCTCTTAAATAAATAAGTTCATAAACTTCCAGCTCAACCGTTTATATGTGTAGCTTTACATAGGCATGCACGCAAACACACAATTGCATATGTGTACTGCAAAAGAGATGTATCTCTTTAACTCGGATTTTTATCAAGCAATGACATTTACTCAAGTGGATCGCGCAAACCCAACCATAAATGTGTACTGCAAAAAGTAAAGTGTCTTTTCAAGTTCCAGAAACGACATCTCCAGCTTCCCTTGATGATGATCCCAGTTCAAGAGCACTGGCTGTCTTTTATATCCATGCCTCTAGGCAGCTGACTTACCCATGGTTTCCTAAAGAAAACACATGGCTCCGACCACAGAGTATGCTTAGCAAGTGGTTTGTAAATCGTGACCCAGAATGGCTAAATCAGCAGCCTTTGCTACGCTTCCAACAGTGAGAAGTACTGTAGAACAGTGTTTCTCAACCTCAGCAACTTGAAGATGCGTGAACTTCAACTCCCAGAATTTCCCAGCCAACATCGTCTCAGTCCCATCCCCAGTCAGCATGCTGGCTGGGGAATTCTGGGAGTTGAAGTCCACACATTTTCAGGTTGCTGAGGTTGAGAAACACTGCTGTAAAAGACTGCAGAAGTTGTTCGTTGCATTTAGATTTGCTTCTAACAGACATGTAGGAATTTGAGACTCGGTTCCTTATTGCCATCTCCAGCATCACCAGGGGCTCCATCAGATCAGAAAGCTGATTTTCCTTAAAGCAAAACCCCTGATAACACTAAGTTTGAATTACTCATTGTGCCACGCTGAAATGTGGCTTGTAAGTATAGCATGGTTAATATAGGCTGGCGTATTACACAATTCCAGTAAATTGCGGCTTATTCAGTAAAACATAGTCAACCAAGCCGAGAGTTAGGTTTTTGTTTTGTCTTGTTTTCAGTAACGCAGGTTAAAAGAAAAAAAAGCTTTGCATTGGCTCTGTTTATATGAACTGAAGTGTACTCCAATTCTATGGATTCTGACTGGATTGGGATCAGTCTGGAAGCGTGTCCCAGATGCAGTTGGGCAACTCTAATTCTGCGGCAGATTCAGAACTGCAGCAGCCAGTTTCGCAGCTGTGTCTTGGCTGATCCTTACTCTGCTAGAAACTGCAGAAATTGCAGAAGCAATTACAGCTGGCAGACCTGGGGATTTCCGTGCATGGCGGGTGCCCCTCCGACAGCAGTCCCAGGTCCTGTCTTGTTTCCCATTTATCCACTTCCCCTGGGTGCCCTGATTCATCATCAGGACTTCCAATGTCATTATTACTACTGTTTATGCTCAAGTCTATGGGTCTTTGGTGACCCTTGATAATGATGTGTGGCCAACCGTGACAGAAGGTCTCATTAGCGGTTTGTCTTGGAAGTATTCGCATCACGCCAACTTGAACCAAGATAGGATAGCGATTGTCGGTCTTGGGCCTGTCATCCTCCTGTCCTC